GAGAGAGAGAGAGAGAGAGAGCGTGTGTTATAATCCAGCAGGCAAGCACACGGCATACATACAACATCGGGTGATCACATACATAGAAAACACAGTAAACATGCTCAGCATCGGAATTTTCAGCAATCAGATCAAAAGGACAGCGTCTTCTCAGAAGAGTCACGCAGAGCTGTCCGATTGCAACAGTGCTGTTCCTTTCGCACAGCACAAAAAAAAAAAAAAAAAAAAAAAAAAAACCGGAGATGACAATGTAAATCCCCGAACAACGGGCAAAGCAACTACTGCAATAAAAGAACAAAAAAAAGGTGGTCGTAGGTATCCCCTCCTTTCGTGCAAGCGAAGCTGCAACTGTTCATCTAGTTATTGACGATTGCTCCTATGATTGAAAGAAAAAGAATCACACATGCGGGAGGGACGAGACCTGACTCACCCGCATTCTTCTCTTCTGGCCGTGTATATCTCCGACGGTCATAAATGCAAGAATCCGGGCATGTGGGGCGTCGTTCCGGCGTCTGTCTACTACCACTTACCCGAAAGAAGTCTCGATTTCTGACCGTAGATTATGAAGATCGACGGTTAGAACTGTGAATCAGGCCAAGTGGGACTTGGCCCCTGGGCGGGGTGTTTGTTAGCGCAGACGATAACTTGCTCGTAAATCGCTCTTTATATTTGTATTATGCAGTTGGCGGAGGGGAGGAAGTGGTGGCCGAGATGCGTACTAGGAAAGTTGCTGAGGCTGGACACACTGGGACGCAAACGCTATAGAAGAAAAAAAAGAGGAGCGTCGCAGCAGCTCCTTCGAGTGCGTCGGCTCTTGGGCTGGCCAAAGTGCGGGAGCGGCATCGGGATCCAGACCACAGTCACGGTGGGCGTCCCGGACCAAGGGCGGGAGCGGCATTGGGATCCAGATCACAGTCACGGTGGGCGTCCCGGACAAAGTGCGGGAGTGGCATCGGGATCCAGATCACAACAGTCACGGTGGCCGTCCCGGACCAAGGGCGGGAGCGGGAGCGGGATCCAGATCACAGTCACGGTGGACGTCTCGGACAACTGCGGGAACGGCATCGGGATCCAGATCACAGTCACGGTGGGCGTCCCGGATCAACTGCGGGAGTGGCATCGGGATCCAGATCACAGTTACGGTGGGCGTCCCGGACCAAGTGCGGGAGCGGCATCGGAATCCAGATCTCAGTCACAGTGGGCGTCCCGGACCAAGTGGGGGGGCGGCAGCGGGATCCAGATCATAGTCACGGTGGGCGTCTCGGACCAAGTGCGGGAGCGGCATCGGGATCCAGATCACGGTCACGGTGGGCGTCACGGTCCAAGTGCGGGGGCGGCATCAGGATCTAAATCGCAGTCACGGTGGGGGTCCGAGCAAGAGAGGTGGGACAGCCCCTCGTCTATCGGACGGGATGGGTGAGTCACAATTGGCGCAGACTAAGAGTAATGGAGGGACGGGCGACATGTCGGAGAAGAAGCGCAAGAGTATTTCCGCACTGGAATTGCGAGAGCTGGGCCCTCCTTCCAAGACCCGGCCCTCGTCATCCGTTCCAACAAGGACTTTGCCGCCGAAATCACCTTCAATGCGTTCGGCTATGGTTTCCCGCAAAGGGGCACCTCCCTCTTTTAGGCAGTCGAGCGGTGGCAATGCCAAAGGGAAGAGAGAGGACGAGGCGGCGGGCACAAGAAGTGCCAGTGGCCCGGGCCCAAGAGGTGCCAGTGCCCGGTATGGCGAGACGGAAGATGGCGCGTGGTACTACCAGCCATTGGATGCTTCTGTGAGAGGAGGACCCTTAGGGTCCATGCTAGGTCTGAGCAAACCCTTGCCAAATCCGCAGGAAGCTGCCTTGGGCATATTGGTGGACATCCAACGGTTCAATCCCCATAACAGGAAAGCTTTTCAGGCGCCAGATACACGAACGATCCCCTTGAGCGATCTTCTAAGGGAGAGGCAGAGAAAGGAGGTGGTGCGCGTCCCCTTGCACAACGTCATGAGGGAAATGGAGAGAAAGGAGAAGATCCGTGAGGCTAACCAACGGAAGAAAAAATCGATGGCTGGTCGTTCGGCTGAGAGGATGCATGCCCGGGATCATCGTCGAAACGGTACCTTTACAATCCGTCGCCCGGAACAACTGAAGTTCTGTGCATGCTTGCGACTGCACGAGCTGTGGAAGGAGTACATGAAGCAATTGATTGGAACCTCGAGAGGGTTGTCCATTTTGAAGTCAAGGCTGCTGAATGCAGATCGCCATGGCTGTTTCATGTCGGTAGTGCAGGCCAAGAATCCTTCATGGCTGGGTTGCAAAGGAATAGTGGTGAAGGAGACTGGGAGAACCTTCACGCTTGTCTCTCCCGTGACAGACCATGTGAAAGTCGTGCCCAAAGGGGGTTGCGTTTTTTCTTTCGGAGTCGAGGATAGATTGTTTACCATGTACGGAAACAATATACACTGGAGGCCACCGCAAGACGGGGCGGAGACGGAATCGCGCGAGGGGAGTAGAAGCATAGACCTGTAGACGACCGGACGATAGATAAACAACTCCAGGGGCGAAGTCCTACTTCTCCTAAGTAAGGGTTCTCCTCTTGAGCTGGAGCTTAAAACACTACTCTCTCCCTCAGTTTCTCGGATGGGACTTGAGCTCCGAACCTCAGCCGTTAAGCTTTAACCTTGTCTTGAGCACTCACGGGCACGGAGGTTCGGTTCTTCTTCTCTCGCGTGACAGACTACGTGAAAGTCGTGCCCAAAGAGGGTTGCGTTTTTTCTTTCCAAGTCGATGATAAATTGTTTACTACTGTATGCTGGGAACAACAGCTCAAGACGGGACCGATGTAGAATCCACCTCAAAGTGGAGTGTGGCTAATCCAGCTTCGCGCCATGCGTGATGCCTTGGCCCAGTCAAGGCACACTCCACCCCAAAGTGAAGATTCTCAAGAGCACAAAGAGGATCTGCAGAAGAAGAACTGCACCTCCATGCGCTCGACTGCTCAGGACAAGATTGATGAACCGCGAATGCATTTTGCCGAGCCTAAAAGTGATCGGTACTGGCCTATGGAAGGCGGTACCCGTTCTGGTCTTTGTATGAATGAAAAGTTTGGGCCCAAACAGACCTTTTTTTGTGTTTTCACTTTATTGCTGTTCCCCGCCTCTGCAGGAGCGTCTTATCCCGCCTTATCCCGCCTCTATTCCTACTACTACCACTAATCCTACGATACAACTAGTACCGTCTTCACCCAAATAGAACGTGGGGTCACTATGGTGGACTGAAACTTGCCTCAGATACAGCTATAGTGACCGGATGTTCTATTCGGGGAAATAAGCTTTCTTTTCTTTTCGTGTGTGTGTGTGTGTGTGTGTGTGTGTGTGTGTGTGTGTGTGTGT